CACATGGCAGAGTGGCTCTGGGAACCAGTCTGGGTGTAGGCTAACCATTTGTGGGAGGGTTGGTTATTTTTCAGCTCCATCAGTGCTGTGATTCAGTTCATTGCACGGCTGCACGAACAGTCCCACTGGCGTAGGAAAAAAACATTGGAAAGGGGATAGGCAGGGGGAGGAGAAACAGAGGACATGACTGCACTTCCTTGCACCAGTGCTGGTTTATGTCAGGTCATAGTGATGTGGAACTAAGGCTTCTGAATTTACAGAGGATGCTGACAAAGCAAAACTAGTGTTTTCCAAAGACTGTTGGGGACAGATCGCAGAGGAAAATGTTGGAAACTGATTTTAAGAAGCTGGTCCTCCAGTTATAAAAGAACATCTGAGGCCAATGGAAATATCTTAAAAAGGAACCTTCTAAAAACAATTTCTTTAATGCCAAACCAAAACAGAAAGCAGCATTCTGCCATTTCTCACAATCTGAGTGAGCTCAAATGCAAGAATTCAAGAGTTTGCGAAAAACACAAATGAAAACTAGAAGCTGCAAAAAGATAAACCCATCAGGCACAAATGGCAAAGTAAATGAACATTTTAAGGAAACACAATCTAAACTATTTCAGGAATTACCTTTTAACAAAACATGTTTTACTAGTAGATTCCAGAGGACAAACTTTTACATGTTTCAATATCCCATGAAAACATGAAAACTGCTCACTGCTGTTGGTGAATTATTGTTTGCCATGCATTAAACAGAAAAAAATGTTTCCTTTGTAAATGCTGCAATTTGCTTTTTAAGCCAGTACAATCTATTATTAGTCATCAAAAAAATTGCTTTGGACTTCCCAGCAATCTTAACTCTGTCTGCCTAGTGGTTCTATTTTGTACCTATCAAATTTAAGTGTAAAAATATGCTTTTGGTATTCCCATGCAGAAAGGGGGGAGGAAGAAAAGGTCTGAGGTCACAGCTGGAGGGGCTGTGTTGCATGCAAGCAAGTGTACTTGCAAATTTGTGCAGGGTCCAAACACTCTGAGTCAACTCCAGCCTCATCATGGGATAAAACCACTAAGGCAGCTGCTGAGTTTCCTGAGGTATCTCCAGTGGTGTAATGAGAAGCCACAAGGAGAACACATAAAGAATATCTATATTATGAATTATAAAGAGTAAATGCCATGGGGACTTCTGCTTCCCATATTTCCTAAATAAATGGGCAGAGACACATATGAGATGAAAAGGCCACGAAGGCTTAAGAGGGATAAAATGATTTTTTTTTTTTAATAGACTACATGAGCTGAACTGTGGAACTTGCTGCCTTATGACATTTCTAGAGGAAATACAGCTGCCAGAAGTTCATACACTTTTGAACAACTCTATTATAAGAACTATGAAAGTATCTATGATGTTATGGTACTAGGAACAAATGTGTTTTGCTCCACAAGACATCGATTTTCAGAGTTCTGTAAAACATGGCACTGAGAAAGAACAGGACATTTACTCCACTAAAAATTAGATTTCACATTTGCATCTTTTCTAGTCAGTTTCTGATTCTTTGGATATAGTTGCTCAAGAAATATTGGTAATATTGACCTCAACCTGTTCCTCTTTCCCCAGAGGAACAATGCTGTATCAGTTTTGAGGGAGCTACTACCTTCTCCTAATTTTGCATTTCTTGCCCTTCATTTTCTCGAGTCGCCCCAGAAAACATGGCAAAATAAATGAAAATGTAATAGCTGGCTGTGGGCTCTGCACTATCCTCCCAGTCACATTATCATGACATTCATGTCTCACAGCTATCACAAATACTGATGTGGGACATACCCACGTGTTTGCACCTTTCAGCATGGAACAGACACCAGCTGTGGGTAATTTCCAGCTGAAGAGTTTAGGTTTCATAGAATTACTCTGAAGGTGCTAACCTGTTCCTTCCCTGTGATGAAGCAGGGAAACATAAACATCTATTCATATCCTGCAGTCATACATCCCCTATACTGATTCTACCCTGAAAATCCAGATCCTGATTCCTTTTCCAAACAACTATATTCTTACTAATTGAAAATAAAAGAAGAAAATATGGAAGGTCAATCAATTGGGTACAGATCAGGATACACAAGCAGTATCTGCACTTCTGGGCTCTTGCATTATCTACTATATAACTGCATCTGTGCTAGTCTTTTCTAAATCAGCTGCTTACCAAAGTAGTGGAGAATAACTACCAAGAAATTCAAGGGACTGTAATAGTCTTATATCTGGGGAAATAAAGAAAACTAAAAAAATAGGGATTTTTCTCAGCAGTGACTTAAATGCCCAAATCAGTCTTCCTTCTCTTAGTCTGTTAATGTGCCAAGGACTCAAGTTCAGATGTAAGAACATGCTGGGTTAGCACATTTGTTGTCCCCTTATTTCATCCAGTTTCCAACGAGCACCCTCTAATTCACATGGAACTTTTTAGCAAACTCTAATTTCATTATTGTCTAAAACATTCCCAGTGATTTGTGCAAGGCTCACTCTCCCAGAGAAATGACCTCTGGAGGACAAACCATTGGTGGATATCTCCTTATAAAGGATCCCTCATATTGTCCAGTGAGAAGGGAATGCCATTTGAAATTAATTGCAAAATAAATTTCTATGCAAGTTTATTTTTATTATCCATTATTTATGGATCCTTCTATGGATCTGAGAGGCTTCCAGACAACACATGGTCGATACTACCCTGTGGCAAATTCAGTCTCCTTGAAACTTCTCTGCTCCACAGCTCACTCTCTCACAAGAATGTCTTGTGTGCAGGATTCACCTTCTATGACAGTGGACCAAAAGAACTCTGCCAAGGTCATTGTCCTTGGAATCAAAAATATCTACGGAGAGACAGTGCTTCCTCCCTTCTGTTCCTTGCTCCTTTCTAAGCCACCACCTTCCTCTCTCTGATGCCAAAGCAACACATTGTAGTGTGGTCCAGCATAGCATTTTTTTCCTGTATTTTGGGTTGTGGGTTTTTTTTGTAGTCCACAAGACAGCCTAATGAAGGGAGGCCCACATGAAAGAAAACCCAAAAGACTAAAATAATGAGTCTGGCTCAGAAGGACAAGAAACATTTTTACACATCACAGCCAGCTTGCTAGCCTTTGTGCAATGGTCTAAGTTGTGATATATGATTTATTCAGTTGTTTTTCTACTCATTTGCATTTCATATTACAAGACAATTAAATAAAAATGACAGAACACTAATTTATTTCATAACAGATTTGCAGAAGACTTAATAAGCTCTTATTTAGTGCAGAAATCCAAACACTGTGTCATGAAACAACACCGCTCGTTGAAGAGAAAATGCTTCAAACTCTTAGCCCTAAGTCAGACACGCACATCTTAAAAGACTCCATCTTGAACCCAGCTCTCTTCTTACCCTGCACTGAACTGCACGCAGAATCACGCTAGCTGAAGAGCATTTTTACCAGGCTTTGGAGGGCTGGAAATGCTCGGCATGTTTCGTGTTTTACACGCGGCATCTGCGAGCGCTGAGCCAGCGAGTGCCGGGCAGGCTCAGTGTCAGACCGCCCTCTCACGGCAGGCGCCAGCCGTGGCCCCGGGCTACCCCTGAGAAAGATGTCAGAGGTGGTCTCTTACACCAAACACGTGTAGGCATCAGCACATGCAACCAGGACCTTCCAAACTTCAAGCTGGAAGCAGATTTTTATGCTCCGGCTTCTCCGCCGAAATGACAGAAGCATCGCTCCCTCACCGCCCGCGCATCGCGCCCGAGTTTTGCTGCCTTTTGCCCTTGCACTCAGCAGAATTTGGTGCTGGGACTGGATTCTCCATCCCTCCTTCTGTACTCTGGGTCTTGTAGAATTCTGGCCTCATCGAAGCACTGTGGTGAATGTCTGAATAGTCTTGTATCTGTCATGGTTTGAAACAGCCCTCTAGGGCACTGCAACGGAGTAGTGCGGAGCAGTATCTCACCTGCTCTCATCTACCCTTCATCTCTTCCATTCCCACCTTATCCCGGTCGTATCTATCAGGGAGGACTAATACAGAATTAATTCTGTTAGTCTCAGACAAAGGAAGAGAAAATAGCACTGCTGGACCAGTATAAAAGAGATTGCAACTCAGAGCAGAATCTGTTATCCTCAGCTGCACGTTAAAGAATAGCATGACTCTAAGACATTCCTGAAAAATATCTACACAAATTCAAACACTTTTTCTCCATATTGGGATTTAATTCCTAGAACACTGAACACATATCAGCATTGCTTTGAAACGGTAACAGATAGGTATGCCACAGTTGTTTTGTTGCTTGTTGTACAGAAAAGGTATTACACAGAGGATAAAACATCACACAGAGGATAAAGCATGTCACACAGAGGATTGGACACCTGCAACTTCAGAGATGCATCTGCAGCTTCAAGAGCTGAAAAGAAATACACCTAATTTTTCATAAGGACACAAAGTAGTCAATTCTTTTGGGACAAAATGTAGTACAAAACTAGGCTCAGGACACCATAATTGATGCCCGAGTGAGGCAGGAATTATTATAATCATCTTCTCATACTATTATTTAGCAGACAATACCTGTTCTGAAATGCTGCACCATGCTTGAGTTGCTTGCCATTTTCAAGGTTCACACTTACAAAGAAGCTGAACTGACAGCACCTAGCCCAAAAATGGTGTGTCCTTATGAACCCTACTACAAAGTCAGACAATGTACACCAAGGGAAATCCATGTATTTCTATTTGTTGCTGCAAAGCAGGATGGACTGGCAACTATATAGCCAGAACTCCAAAATCCCTGCTGCATGTGGGTGAGCATGGAAAAAACCCCAGGGTCAACAGCACTTAGAAATATGGTGATTCAGATATTAATTTTAAAATAAGAATGATTTCTTTCGCACTGCCATTGCAATACGTCTTTGCTGCTGGATGAGGTTTTGCTTGTGCAAACAATATCCATACCCAGAGAGATGCTCTGGTAGCAGCTGAAATAAGTGAAGGAATGAAGGAAGGAAGGAAGGAGGCTTACCTTGTGTTGTCCCATCCAGTCCCATGAGACATTTCATTGCCCTGATGATTTGCTCTGCCACGGCGGGACACATAGATGTGGCGTACACAGCGCTGTGAGAATGAGTTCGTAAAAAGTCCACAAGGCCCTTACACAAGCAAAACAAGGCATGAATGAGCTTTGAGCTGGCCAAACAGCAGATCTCCCTCTTAACTACTGCAGGAGAGGGAATGTGCAAAAGGAAGAGGATGTTTCACCAGCTACTGGATTGCATTCTTGGCTGCCACTGTTAATACATGGCCTGAAGAAACATCAGGCAGGTGCAAATGCTTTACCATATAAGTGGGGCAATTACAGCTGAAACAAAAGTCTGGAATAGAAGAATGTTTACTTCTGTGCTAAGACTTATTATAAAGGAGCCAAAATAATTTCAAGACCAATGAACAGCTGCACTGAAAATAATGCTGCTCAGTTCTCCTCTGGTAATGAAACAAAGGCTATACGACATCAGTGTAACTCCACATCACCTACATCAGGAAAAGCAACCTTACTGGGATCTATCTTTGCCTATAAGCACATAAATTTTCAAAAGTTTCAATCAGTGTGGCAGGGACAGTCATGTCGGAGTTGGCATTATTGCTTTAACATTTCCTAAGAACACAGTAACTGTGAACACAATCTGTCCTCATAGAAAAACCACTGATATACTGTAGGCATGTCTAAAACACCAGTAACTCTCCTGAATCCAGGCATGCAGAATTCAGATCTTACTAAGATCATCATTGTTATAACAACTTATAGCTCCTAGTGCAAAACATCAGAGTAACAGTTAGCACACTAAAAGTTGAGTGCATGTTAGTGAGAAAGGAATAAGGCCTACTTGAAAATTGACTTTGATCAAAAAATGGTCATCAGAAAAAAAAATCCAGTGAGAGTAACACAAATCACTACCAAAATACTGTAGGAGTCTACACAGTAACTCCAGTGCTGAGGATAAAGATTTACCTAGCCTTACACAGGTTGTGCATGCACATATTGCAGTTGTATTCCTAAGGGTTTGGTTAAAAGCTAAGAAGCTCCAGCTGATGCAGAATAAACAGCACCACTGTGAGTTTTTGGCTGCAGAAAGGAATGTAAGTGGGCGAGTGGGTGAGCAGCCTTCCAAGGCTGAGAAGCCTGAGGCAAAACTTAGTGATACACACAAGGGTGAAAAGAGTGACCTCTTTTCAGTTAAAAAACTTCCAAGGATTAGAGAATAAATTACATCAGACTACTTTTCACAGGTCTAATCTTTCTATATTTTCTAGCTACATTACCCACATTGTCTTTGGTAAGAAATAAACCTACAGATACAAATTCAGGAAGCCAAGGAAACAAAGAAAATTGGTTCTTGATATATTATGACACTTGGTTTTAAGATCTCTAGGGGAAACCCCAAAAAAAGACAGGAAGAAATGCATGGTTGATACTTTCTTATAGCCCTTTTATTCTACTGTAGGGCTACCCTTATTAGTGTTATCCTGACAACAACCATATGGGCTCTCTAAACAGGCTTCCCACTCATTCAGCAGACTGCTTAAAAAATACATTCAGCTGGGTATGAAAAGAGAAAATAATCAGCAACTATTTGATCTCTCTGTCAAGCAACAAAACCAATGATATTTCACAATGGTGCTGATTATGCTTTCTCTTCTACACCCCCAGTTAAAGCAAGCTCAGCTCTACTTTTTGTTGACATCTGTTGTTGGCAAGAGATTGTTTTGTTAATGTACGCGGAGCAACTGAGGACACAGAATTTACTATTGCAAAAAGCTCCCAGTAACCTTTTTCTCCATTCTCCTAAAAAATGCAACTATGTCAATCCACAACTCTTCAGGAATTTTATTATCAGTGGATGAAACTGTGGTTTTAATCTCTCAATATTGCTTCACACACTGTTTACAAATGCGAAACAAAGTAATGAGCAATCCGCATGCAAATTAATGTAGGGAAGTGTATTAGCCAACCACAACATGCCCAAACATTTCCAAGACAAACAACAATCATCAGGGTGGCACAGAACAACCCAACTCAAGCAAATTACATAATATGAACATGAGACAAAAATAAGAAAGTCTGACTGTTTGATGTGCATTTGGGATCTGGGCAAAAATGATGCTAACTTCAGAACGGCGCTCACATTAAGCAGCCTGTTCAAAAAGATACTGAAATGTATCATACATCATACAAAAGCAGTGCCCACACCCTTGATGTGAAATAGTTTCTGATTTCCTTTTACCTTTTTGCCAGCTATGTATCCTCCAGCTGCGCCAAAGCTCTTTGTGAACGTTCCCATTAATACGTCAACATCGTCGGGACTCATCCCGAAGTATTCCACAACTCCTCGGCCCGTTGCTCCCACTGCACCAATGCTGTGAGCTTCGTCCAAGTAGAGGTAGGCTTTGTATTTGTTCTTCAAGGAGACTATCTCTGGCAGGCGCACGATGGACCCTTCCATGCTGCACAGGGAGGGAATCAGGGGTGAACAACAAACCCTCTACTCTTTCCCATGCTGGCAGAAAATATATTCATTGCCTTGTTCCACCAAAGTTCTTCTGGAACCTGAATTTTTACTTACAAGCCAAAGAAAACTTGCAACCCATTCCCGTTTGCGGGCGAGTACAAAACTGTTCAACAGTTTTAGAATTCAAACATTCAAAACCAGTCAAAAAGTCTTTGAATGTTTGTGAATTGTCAACGTGTCAGAGGAGAGAAGGAAAGGTGTAAAGCAAGGTGGAGATACTCACCCTGAGCAGCACATTACAGCTCATCTCTACAAAACAAATATTATAAAGAACTGCTATAATTCAGTCTGGTCCTTGCTTACTTCACCGTCAGCTACTGTGGCAATATTTGGGCATAACATCTCTAGAGCAAATTCATCTGGTGCAGAGGAGCTGGGTCCAACATACACTGGAGAAGGGCCATGTGAAACCCACAGCTGGTGCCATAAACTCTAAGTATTCCCAGTCTTCACAGAATCAGGGATTAAAACAGGCAGCTGAAATCCAGTCTTGCCAATTTTTGCTTCGATATGTACTTTTTGGGAAATATAGCCTGCTACCTAGTAATCAAAAGGAAAAACGCTTCCATTCCTTTTCTTTTTACTTTCTTACAACCATGCAGAAAAATGAAATATTTGGAACTGGCACAGGTTGCTCAGAGAAGCTGTGGATGCCCCATATCTGGCAGTGTTCTAGGCCAGTTTGGATGGGGCTCTGAGCAACCTGGTTTAGTGGAAGATGTTCCTGTCCATGGCAGGGGGGTTGGAACAAGATGAGCATTCAGGTCCCTTCCAATCCAAACCATTCCATGATTCTGTGATTAATGGTGTACTGAGATTTATAGAAATGAGAAGAGGTGATAAATCTTTTGCACTGTTGGCAGTCGTGTCAGTAAATGAGAAGGCACAGAGGAGGTGTCCAGCAAAATGAAAGCGTGGGGACATAAATAAGAAACGTTCTCTGATCCCATAAAGATGACATATGCAGAGTATTGCTGTGAAGATTTGTGTCCTGAAAACCTTTGTGAGATGACTACTGCTGTGCTTAGATATGCTCAGATCCACTCAGTATTCATTTCATAACTAGTTAATTGTCTTCCACTAGCTCGAGCAAGCAGGTCTCTAAAAGCTAAAAACTTCCTATCAAGCACAAAGTCAGTGTGCTGTGTGCCAGGAAAACCAGGGCTCTGTGGCTAAGGCTCACGGCTAAGGTGTATCCACTTGCAAATGCAATAAATTTCAGGTGACCAGAAATAGGGACTTTGATCCCAAATAGCAAGTACAAAAGAGAAGTGTAATCAGCAGCATCTTGGAAATTTTTGGATCCTGGACCAATGGCTTTCACAAGCTGCTTTTTTGCTACTTTACTTGTACTGTGCAGCTGCAAGTTTGGCACCATAAAAGGAGCACGATGTGCTTTTAGCACTTGGGAAATTTCTGACAATTTTAGTCCTTCTTCATCCTTTAGTCTCCTGAGTAAGCTTGGAAACTGGTCAGCAGTTTTGAAGGAGACCTGCCCAAAGGCAAGTCTCCATTAGTGTAACAGCATGGGGGAGTAGCCATGGACAAGGGTTGCCTGTGCTGTTCACACTGGGAGGTTCAGAGAGGCTGGCTGTGTGTGCCTGGAGGCATAATTTTGGCTGTTGGTGACTGCTGGCAAATCTTGTCCCTCTGTCTTGCCCAGCCATAAAAGAGGCAGCTGTGAGACTGCGTGCTGGCAACATGGTCCCTTGCAGCAAAGAAGGGTGGGCTTGTACTGCAAGCTCCTGAGGACTGGGCTTTCTCACTTTTCCCAAAAGGCACTTGGCAGCTGGGGGAGAAGCAACTTAAACCACCACAGCTATTTTCCTAGTGAATACAAGGGCAGAGCCCAGAGTCCTCACATAGCCCAGAGTCAGAGCATTAGTCAGCTAAAATGACACTGAGCCACTGGGAGTGCTTGGACGTGCACCATGGTACGTGCTGGGCTTGGCAGAGTTCAGCTGTGTCTGGTCTTGGAGAGCCAAGGAGCACCTCTGAAAACTGCAATCCCACCCTCCAGCAACGCCTGGGCACACCAGCCAGGCAGAGAAGGATAATAACAGTTTTTCCACATTTATATGGTCATCATTAGGCTCGGTGGCTCGTGGAGATCCAGCAGGAGAGACAGCATTTAACTTCAAAAAGAGTAAAAAACGGTGAATTAAAAATGCTGTGTATTCACATAAGGGAAGGAAAGTTGTGCTGAATCCGAGAATACATGGAGCTGGTACATGGCTGATGCAAGATTTAGCCATTTAGAAGATTTAATGAATTTTTTTTTCTCATATGAGTAGGAGATTTCTCTTGGAACTCTAATCTGCTTAGCAAAACAAGGCACTTGTATTCAGTTCCAGTTCTGATCTACTGCTCTTGAAAGACGCTGGCTGACATAAATGCAACAGCTGACAGAGGTCCTAATGTGGTCTTGAAGCATCCATGGAACAGATAAAGTGCTGCTGGAGTTGTGTCCATGGTCTGTGCTGCCATTCCACCGTGTCTCAGCCCTCTCGATGGCAGAGATGAGAACTCTTTTGCTGCCTGCTCTGGTCTTGGTCTCTCTTTTGAGCCTAGGAGATGGTTAGTGATATGCACAGCACGCTGTCTAGAACTGCTTCAAGATAAAGCTCACTTCACATAATTCCTTGGGTAGCCCAAATGGAAAGTTTACTGAATCCTTCAGTAAATGTTTACGTCAAGTGAGCTTAAACCAAAGAGCCAGAAGTGAACTGTACTGCTTCTGTCTCACTCTGGCTGGGCCACTTAGCTTTGTGTACAAACGTATTGATCTGTTTCCAGACCTGCTCAAGCACACAGGGCATATAAAAAACCCCCAGATGCAGATGAACTAAAGCTGTCTCTGCCCAGGCCAGGTTTCTCATTACGTGGCATGACACCCTGCCTTGTAGCACAAATTCCTAGCTTGGTAGAAGGGATGGAAAGCTTCCAGATTGGAGCTGATCCTTGTGTTGTGGACAGGCACAAAAACTTGGGTTAGTACCCACTCAGTCTGAAGAGTTTCCAGACGTGAGGAGATAATCCCAAGTTTTTAGAAGACTCTGGTTTGAAAGTTGATTCAATCCCCATCAAACCACAGATGTTCTTCCTGATGCAGCTGATGAATTGTGGAGCCAGGTGCTCTAAGAGATGGGAGGTGTGTGCTTGTGATGGTCACTTCACTTGGAACACAGGCTCACCCTTGACACAACACTGATGGTTTTTTACCCAGTTTCTATTGAAACTTCTCAGGAAAAGAGGTTTCTACATTCTACTATGGTACCACAGTTTCCTTTTTTTTTTTTCCTGTCAGAAAAACCAATTTACAAATATTCGACCTCTTATCCACTTCATCTCTAAACATGCCCTAGAGTACCACTATCTTTTCAACATTTGAAGAGTTTATCTGTTCCCCTTTCAAGCTAGTTTGTAATTGGGAAAAATCCCTCCTTTGGCCTGCTACCCACAAGACATATACATTCCACTTTAACAGTTACTTTAGGTACTGTTTTCTTACATAAACCTTGTACATTCATACAACAATCTCTGTTTTGTACTTTAGAGCAATAATTTTAAGGAAATCTTTCAACTCTGCCCTCAAATACAACTTCATTTCAACACTGAAATTATAGAAATGTTAACCTTTAATGCTGGTTCTTGGCCAAAGACATTAAATGTTACCTCATTCTTTTCTGGAAGTCCAGTTACTTAATCCCAGGAAATAAAAAATTACTCTGCTAAATTTCCTACACTTTTGGCATTGAATCCCAAGGAACTTCTAATACATATGAAAAGGCATTGGACAACATCTAACTGATCAGAGCTAATTTCTTAGCAGGAAGGGAAAATACACAAATTAAACTAAAAGTAAGGAAAAAACAAATGGAAACCATTCTGTTTTGATCAATTTCTGATGCCCCATAACTTCTGTCCTGGGCCTGGCCTATCTGACTCCTCAGTAAATATGCATGGAAGAGAGCAGAAGCCTACCACAATTCATGTAAGAACACAGTAACTGATTAATCCTGAACTGGAAATGGCAGAAGCCAAGGAAAACATTAGCTGGAATTCAAATAATAAAAATATGAATTAGCAAGTCGGTTTAACTTGTGCCCTGGTCACTGCCAAAACTTGTTCATGCTTTTTGGAGTCAAGGTTGATGGCTAGATGGTCTCCCTCAGTTTGGAACACAAATGGAATATATTTGCTCCTAGGCTGGTCCAAGCTGAGAGCCAGCTTTCACTAGGAGTTACATTTACTTTTGATGATTTTTTTTTTCTTTTCAAGATAATAGAGACATTAAAAGCAAACAAACGTGTACTTAATGCTATTTATTTGACATGTAGCTTGAGTGCTTCTCAAGTTGAGGGGCCAATTCTGCCTTCAGTTGTAACCAAGTAAAATCTGTGGTTTATGGTTTCAAACACAAGTTTGATTTCCAGAAATGCTCATGTTGGCTAACAATGACCCTTTTCAAATTTTGCCAGCTGGTAAGTCTAGGCTTATGCACAGGGTAAACACTTTAAGATACTCCTAATGGAAACAGAAGGCAAATTTCTTTCCATACCATGAACTTCACCATACTAAGACTATGGTGTCCCATACAACAATATTGTTTTAAAGAAGGAAAGCTTAGTGTTTTCTTTTACATCTCTGGAAAAAGCATTTCTGTAAAAATTTGCCAAGCCAAACTTGCAAATCAAGGTATTTTAACTTGGAGAATGGCTCTGACCAAGTTATTTAAATTCTATATTTGCTGTCCCTGAAGCATAACTTAAGGGGGAAAAAAAAAGCGGTACTAACTATTGTAAGAAGAATACATTAACTACACTCTAACTCCTCTTAAACTCTCTTGATGAATGTTAATTTGGCACTTGGCAAAGCTTCAAGAAAACTATCATTAGCCAATATGGGGCTGGAAAATTTTAGTCTTTCAAAAACCCCAAGCCAAGAAAGGAAAGAACATACACACGAAAAAAGTAAGAGTATTTCTACTCTGTCCTTCTCCAGCTTTTTTTTTTTTTTTTTTTGCATATGAAATGTTCTTAGCTACCAGCTGGCTCTGACTGCCCGGGCTGTGAGCCTGCCCCTGGCAGGGCTGCAGGGAGTGCCTGGCTGGCGTGTCCCGGGCTGGCAGCGGTGACAGGGACACAGCGCGGTGGCACCTGGTGGCATTCCCCCTCCAGTCACAGCACAACCAAACCATGCTCTACAATTCCTGATCTGCTTAGACTGTGAATAGAACTAACCAACCAACCTAGCTACTGCTAGGGATAGCTTCCAACAAGAGGCTATTAAGAGAGCTGAGCTTTGTTTTTCTTTTACTTTACACCTTTCAGAAGCATAGACACTCAATGGTCTTAACATTATTTAGCCTTTATGGAGCTGAAGGAACTTTATGGTTCCTTTTAGTAGGTACTCTGAGGTTCAACGTGCTTTTATTTTTGCACTCCAACATAAGGCTCTTTGAACTTTGGAAAATTAAATCTCATTTGAGAATGAACTGCAAAATGACAGCAAAAGAAACCTCTACACCAAATATTAATCTGGAAATACAGTTGTAAGTTAGTATAGTTAAATAGCTGACAGTGGGTTTGTCCCACTGCTTGGACTGATCCATCCATCAGTGTTACCAGTCTACCTTCTTGTTCCCTAGTGGTCAATATTCAGGGTAAAGGATTTAAAAGTGAACAAAGCTCAGCAGCTGGAGTCTTTTCTGCCAGCCATGTGACCAATGGGAACATTTGTCAGTAAAATGTTGGTGGTCCACTTAATTTCTGCATGATCAAAGTCCTTAAATCCGAGCTTTCTTTTAGTAGTGCCAAGGGATGTTTATTTGTAGTTTTGCTGTGTTTATTCTGGTTGAAAGGACACGTTCAGCCTGCCTTGGATCAGCTGATCTGCTGCCGACCTGCTTCACCTCTGAGTGACAGGTGTTTAGATAAGGACTGATTTAGTCTCTTTGCAGATGGAAAACGTTAGGCAAAAAGAAAGCACTGACAGCTATGAAGTTGTGATGACATGAGATCATAAAAGATTTCTTCCAAAATAAAAGTTAATTGGCAAAGCTGTGCCAATATTTTGCAGTAAAATGGCATAAGTGACTGTCCATCCAGACTGGCTGTATTTCAGCAACAAATGATACAACCCCTATGTATAAAATTTTAAGGCCACTTTTATAAACCCTGTCGTGTCCTGTGAATGAGTGGTTCTGGTTTCCTCCTCTCTGGGGCAGGTGTTGCTGCTCCCTAAACCACCCTTGTCCTGCTCCCCCATCTCCTGTCACCACCACAGTAGCCTTGCCTAGATCCCTGCAAACCCCCTCACTGTCCAAACCCCTGCTTCTTCAGCCCTTCCTGCCTTTCCCTTCTCCAACTCCCACCTGTCAGTGGCTGCCCCTCCATGAGCCCCCTGGCTGCCTTCCCAGTGACCTTCTCTGGACTGGAGCAATTGCCAGGATGAAGCCCAGGATGGTGAGCCTGGCTGGTGCCACTGCTCTGCTGCTCAGCTCCTGTGACTGTTTGCCTTTCTGGCTGGGTGTAAGCTGCACCACACCGTAGCTATCTGACTGAGCTGCTCTATAATTACATCGTATTATTGATGCTGCTATTATCAGATGGATTCTCAAGGGCACTTCTCTCATTTGAATTCCTCCAGGGACTAGGGCAACATTAAATACCACTATATAATTCTCTGAAAGCCAGTCTTTCAATTTTCCTGTTGAAGTGTGAGTCTATTAGATCCAGCACAAGTTACTAAGAAGGTGCCGGTATCACTTAACCTCAGTTTAGGTTGAAATTTAAGATCTCAACAGCTAGGGAAGAACTGGACATGCAGAGCCTAATCAGTTCTGTATAGTTGTCTCTTGATCTGCCCACATGTAACAAACAACTCTAGAAAGTTAATTCTCAGATTACTCACTTGGTAGAACTCCTCACCAATTATAGCTCCACTGATACCTTAAGTTTTAGCTTTCATATTTCCCAGATTCTGCACTGCATTAGTATATAACTCTGAACTTCACTTAAAGTGTTTGCAAGTTCTCTTCACTGATTAGTTAGACAAAGCAATCCTTTTCCAGCCTGAGAACCAAGGACACCATTGCAGCTTCAGGCCCAAAAAGTGCAAACAGCAGCAAATTGAGGAAAGTAATCTGGGAGGATGGAACTGCAGAACCTGGGGCTGGAATTGGACAATCAACCCCAATATGTAAATGGACCAAAACTTATAAAATATGAAAACTCATGAATGGCTGTCCATCTTGTGTCCATCTTGGGTGTAGCCCTGGCCAGGCTCTAGTAATGCCCAAGGTGTATCCTTTGAAGGCCTTTTGATAAATACCTACTGTATACCTTTAACAGTGTCTAACCCCTGTTCTAGGTAACCTCTTTAGGCATCACCATGAACTTTATCACATCTGTCACAACACACGTCACCTTACCTGGCTTGCTCTCAGTACATCTTCCACTCTACTGTGATTTGCTAAATCAACATTCAGAACAATGCACAGGATCTAACTGGAGCTACAGGATACAGGGTTCAGGCTGCCATAATGGAAATCAACATATTTATGAGATCACAGAATGTTACTGCAACTTCTGCTCTCATTAAGATTTCCCTAAGATACCTAGAGTCAGAGTTTGCCCCACTCAATTCATCACTCTGTCCTCAGAAATGATAGAATACTCATCTTTCTATGACACAAACATACCTGTAAATGCCCTCCACGAGGATGATAATTTTTCTCCATGCTCTGTGGGTGCGAGGCTGTCCATATATTATTGCATCTCTCAGCAACTTCTCGAGGCTCTGCATATCTTTATTTAAAAATAAGAAAAAGGAGGAAGGAAAAACATCAACAAAGATTTTTCACAAGAACTTTCAATTTTCTCTTGGGTGCTATTTTTCCTATGCAGAAAAGAACAACATTATATTAAAAAAGTGTACTAAAGATAAACTTCCTTTATTAGTAGGCAAAACCCAACAATTACTTTCATTGGTGTAAATGCAATTTAGTGACAAGAAGAGTTATAAAAAGCTTTCAGTTATGCACCTGACCTGGGAATCTTCTGAATTCTTCTTCTTTTGTTTTGTATTTAAAGGCAGAAGGGAAGAAGCAAGAAAAAATACCACAGAAATCAGGGTCAGGCCAAATGTGACTTTCAATGCACCAGTATTCTGGTGTCTCCAATGAAGGGACACTCTTCAAAATGAATTGTTCTGGTACTTCTCAGGAATCCAGATTGGCATTTCAAAATGTTTTCCAATAACATCCTACAGAGTCTCATAATACCCAAGAAACTCTACAGATCAGCTCAAACAGTGGGCTGAGGAAATCAATGGCATTTTTTCACAATATAATCCCATTTGCTTCAGCAACACAACGCAGTTGATCAACCTTCTACAATAGCACAAAGTTAATGTGTAAAATGAATTGTCCTGAGGGAAAAAAAAATACACCTTAGAAATATTAATATTAATCCAAAATTTGGTTTCTACCCGAGGGGAATGGGGCAATTTGCACATTAATTGCCCATAGTGAATAACCTGTGCCTTGAGAGATGATCAAGTTATGACCTGAACCCTTCCACATCCTGATGCCTCACCTACTCCTAGCAACATTTAGTGATGTTGGTGGAAGGTAAAGTTCTCAGCAATGAAATTACCACTCTGCACCTGACTTAGCAAGTCCCTGCTGTGCTCTACAAAATAGGCATGGACAATATCAGCTGCCCCTTGTTTCAGTGGTGCAATGGCCTGCACAGCTCAGCGAGCTCTGAGATGGAAATGCTGCCAGGAATGATGCGATGCAGACAGCACACTTTCCACTAGATGGCAATCAAGGAAATAAAAGTTCTTTGGTGCTTTATAAGGGAAAGTTTTAACCAACCTGAACATTTGCAGCTGCCCATGTTCTCTTTTGTTTCAAGTAGAAAATACTTAGAACTCCTCTTAAAGGGCTCCCTCAGGATGACAGCTCGCAGTAAAATTTGGACACCTCCTTTCCTCCACGAAATTATTCTCTACTGATGTCACTGTCATCTAAATCCTTTTGAGACCTTTGAAACCCTCTTCTGAATCACACAAGGTTTTTCAATTCAGTGTTCTGTCTATGTATCAGTCCAGATTGGCTCTTGACTTCAGAAAAGTCATTTGCCTCTGAGCTAAAAGCATGGCTTAAAGATTCAGTTGTTTTAGCACAGGAAAAGAAAAAAAAAGGAAAGAGGAGATGAAGTGAAATGTATATAATTTTGTTTTAAAAAAACACATGGCAGTGAATAGGTCCTCTGTCCAAACTACTGTGGAACATGAGACCACAGACTGGAGAGAAAACATCTCCAAGGGATGAGTTTCCCTGACTTTACACATAATATAGTCCTGCTGGAGTACAGGCTAAGAAGATGTCTGTTTGCAGGATCAGGGCTATCTCACCTTCTTTTTGATGTCTCATTCTGAAAAACATGAAGCCTGTAATACTCAACACATAATTTGTTCATGAATTTTACTGACCTATTATCTCTGTGCCTCATCGGGAAAGGGAAAATAGGAAAAATTCCCCACAAAAGGCTGCTTTTGTTCTTCAAGGTGAAAACAAAGTGCTCTATGTGCTTGTACTTAAGCTTTTCAGAAAGTGGGATACACTGAGCAGCAGGAAAAACAATAGCACAACCCCAAGGTGACTTTCAGAATCAAATTATTTACCCATTAAATACAGTTAGATTGAGAGACATGACATTAAGATGATGAGCTGCACGAGTCCATCCTGAATAACCAGTTATAGAGAAAATAACAGTCCTTCCTTGTTTGACCATCACCAGCCCAGGGTTTTCAGCAGCAATGGCCAAAGACTGTTCACCAGCCCAGGAGGTGGTGTGAAGAATTTTACTTGATTAATCACAGCCAAATCTATCCATGTTTCACTTTCCACCTTCTCCTTACAGCATATTGCCCAGATATGGAGGATAAAGTTTTCTAAGAGGGTACAGTGGATCTATCAGTGGGTTGCTGGACTTGCATAATCCTTGTTTGGCATCTCTCCTAGTTACTTCAAGAGTAATACCAAGAACACAAAGTGCCAGTGGGCTGGAGCGAGTCTGGACCTGGGCAGGCAGCGTGTCATGCTGCCTCCAGTGCAGGTGGGACAGCAAGGCTCCAGGAGGGAGGACATGCTCAGGGAGACACGGCGCCTCCACCCCTCATCCTTACACTGCAATGCTGGGGATGTCATCACCATTCCTCTGCGTGGGCTGGAAACCTCCTGTGTGATGTCAGCTGAATCCTGTTTAATTAAAATAAACAGGCTGCTGCTACTCTTGTCGCATTGTCCTTTTCGCTTTGCGCTTGTAACTCTGATTTTTAGTTTCTCGCAAGTCAGCACAGACCCCGTGGCTACACACGAATATCTGTGTTTGGAACATGGGAGTGGTGATCACTGCAGCCACACTAACAGCCTGAGACTGCCCTCCCTGCCCCTCAATAAATACCAATCTCTCTGAAGGTAAAGGGCACTGGCTCAAGAGAGCTCCCTGCCCACAGCTGGCAAGCCAGATGTGGCTTTCTCCGAGCAGAGAGGGCAAAGGCAGACACAGCGTGCAGGGAGCAGGACAGACCAGTCTCCTTGCCATGGCGTCTGTATGTGTCACTGGGAATTACACACCCTGCTGGATTAGGCTGCAATCCACCTATCTGGGCAACAATCTTGTCTCTGATAGTGGCCAGAGGCTTCAAGGAGCACAGAACCTTAGTGGGTAATGTGCCTTTCGTCCTGCTCTGTAATAGCTAGAACACTGCCCTCCCTTCTGAAATTCAAGGGCTACCTACACACTTGCAAAAAAAATATAAAATTAAGGAACCATCCTGTACTAAGCCACCTCAAACTGTCTGGGTTTTGCAACCAAAAAGATCTCTTTCTAATTTTTACCTGTTTATCTCTTTCATTTCTGACCTATTTTATTTGCTTGCGTAATTAGTTGCACTTAGTTTTTCACTTTTCTTTTTTTGTTTTCTTTTCTTTCCTTCTTTTTAGATAGAAAATATATTTGCACTGAAAGGTAAAGGCCTCCTGCCACCTAGAAGTTCCTTCAGCATTAACTACAACTCCTCCTGGTGCACTCTCTTTAAGGTGTCCCCATGGCACTTTTTATCTGAACTCCAAAGCAGTAATTTGACTGAGTAGACTGAGAAATGCCAGAGTTGGATTAACATAAATTCACAATTGTTGTCCAAGCTGGAAACTGTATTTTGTATGGAAACCTGGACAGCTCATACCTGCATCACACACTTGTCCTCAACCACTCGATCTGTGGCAATCTAAAAAATCCCTGACTACTTTCACAACATTGAAAAGGTGCCCAAGGAGGAGCTAGGAATGTATTTCCCTGATTCCCATTTCAGATGTGGATTCAAGCACCAGATTACAGGCTGGATTTTCACCTAACCAATGTGCTTGGTTATGCTTTGCAATTCCCTGCCTTCCTCATAGGACCACTTGCTCTGACTGCTGAGTGAAATGCCCTTGCAATGAAGAGAACTGGAAATATTTTTTCCCCCATTGCCTGAGTTCTGTACCTTGTCACAGCATTCCCACAGACTGTTGATGCAATTGTAAATCTGAACCTGAAAACGGGACATCACTTGAGTTGCTTGATGCTACATGGGAAAAATGTAGTAAAATTAGAAATAAACAAATCCTAAGCCTAGTATGGTGCCTTCTTTTACAAGCTGATAAGAACAGAACTCACTTGGATATAGTTGGTCCATAACACTCTCATCTCTTCACCTGATACCAGACTAAGACCCAGAACTGCTGTGAGAGAAACCCCTTGATAAAAATCACACACTGATTAATGGTTAAATATTTGGTTTTGCTTTTCAGGTTTTATTGGAAGGGTTAAGGATTCTGGCTAATACTTAACCAGATAAAGGTCAGAGGTCCTGAAAAAAAGGGCTTATAAATGTATGGTGTTCTTAAAAGATTGCCTTAGAAATAAAAAAAAAAAAAAAAAAGCCAAAAACCTTAATGTGGTAAGTCAATCTCTCCCTGAACCACCAGGAAGTAAAAACATCTGAGTTTAGCCCCCATTTAACTGAAGGACCCCCAAGCCTGTCACTTGAGGAAGTTGGGAGAGACTCCCTGGAGCCCAAGGCTGGTGAGGGTAACATGAGACACTTTCTGGCAAAAATACTCACCAAGGCCAGGCCACTACTGCCCCAGTGGTGGGAGATGTTTGAGCCTCCCACCTTCTCCCACTGCACACTGGCTGCTGGACCATGCTGCTGCCTGCATTCCAGGGCAGCAATGCAGCTCTTTCCTATCTTCCCAAACAAATCCCTGCCTGGGAGATGCTGACCTGAGTGGTGTCCACGCCACAGCAGGGGAGACAAAGGCAGGTGCTTTATGGGCAGAGCAGAATGATTTTAGTCCACTAAAACACTACTGCATACATTTAGGACTGCTTAGACCCTAAAATAAAATTGAAAAAAAAGAAAATTTAAAATCCCCTAGACCTGTGATTCAGAGCAGGGGCTCCAGGGAGCTGAACTTTGCTGCACAAAACCTCACAAATGCCTGACAGAAAAATTCCTTTAAAGGCCAAACCCCATGTGCCAATACTGCTGTGCCCTTAGCAGGGTGAAGATTATAGACAGTGCTAATGGGAGCCCCCAGGGAGGAAGACCCTGTTCAGTAGTTTTTAGTTATGGGGCTAAGATGGAATATTCTCTTAGATTTCTCTCACACAGATGATCTGTAGGTCTGTGTGTCTCAGCCCAGACCTGTAAATTCCTGTCTGTTCACAAGGAAGGGATTGTTCACTAGCAGGTACGATGCAGGGCACATTCCTATGCCCAAATAAAAACAGACTTATAGGTCCACAGCACATTCTTGTTCTATTATTTACTTTAAGGCTTGAAAACCATCTCATACACCCATGCAATGTTTTTGTCAAAAAGGAAAGATATCTGGATGCCTTTTATTTCACCTAGGAAAAGCACAGAGGTCTAAGGATTTTGTCTGTTCTAGAAAAGCTGTTCAGATGTTTTACAGAAAGTATAATGTCTAAGAGAACTATTCATTTATTGAAATAGAACTTCATTGTCTTTTGTAAAAATAAGAACTACATTATACATAATGAAGGCAATAGGTAGAGATTCTTTCTTGTCTTACAAATGAAATAATTCTCTATTAATAATAATAATTATTTACTTTTGGAAGATGACAAATCAATCCTCTACTACAGATTTCATGCTTTGAAATAAAGTAACAGTTTTACAGAATTAGCTATAGTACAGCCTTTGAAAGATGAAGGTACTTCATAGCAAGTTCAAAATGATAGATTTTACTCTCTTTTCTGTGAAATATTTTTATCATAGAACAAAGTTTTGTACTTTTTTTTTTTTTTGACAAAGGGTTTTTTCCCTAACAGAACAGGGAAAGGAAAAAGAAGAGAGATTTATGCACTTATTAGAACCTGATGGTGAAATCCATGCTTATTAAAGATCTTAAAGCAATAACTTAAAGTGCAAAGTTTTCTCATCATGCACAGGGCCCATACAGCACAAGGAACTTTGCATTCACACCAAGCAGTGTGACACGGAGCACAGCTCAATTCTCCTAGTCCTATGCATGACAACGACAGCATGAGCACTCTGACAATTTGGGCATGCCTGTAGATGTCACATACCCACACATTAGCAAGAATGAATCTGGAGCATAAGCAACACAGCTCTGGTCTAACAAAACAAACATCTGTCTAACTGAAAAGAACCCTTCCAACCCAAGCTGGAATTTTTGGTTACCTAATTACTTAGTTTTGGTCCTTAATTTTTTTGCTGTACTGATTAGTGTTCCACTTCTCCCTGACAGATTCAGAGGGCACAAGGCTCCATTTTGGATAAAAGCATGCATCCCACAAAGGCAGTCCTGCTGGGTTATGCTTTCCACTGCTACCTCCCCCAAAACACACCCTATTTCCCCCAAAGCAAAAGGCACACACACACACACACACACACACACACACACACACACACACACACACCTGTGCACGTGTGATTTTAGTTGTTAGTGATGTGTAACTCATGGGTATCAGTAAGGAAATATTAAAAGACACAATTTTCTAACCATAGAACTAACAAGCTGAGAGAATCAGAGTGGGCTGAGAGAAAGCATGAGCACGTGAAGCTTCTTCACACGAAATGCTCTCTAAATGCAGCTTAGGCTCAAGACTAGAAAATTGTGACAACAAAAGCAGTCACTCAATACCAAAGAGTATTTGCAAAAGTTTCCACAGATTCCTTTTGGAAATAAGTTAAGGTGATGTCTCTGCAATGGCATACAAGATTGTCTTTGGCAAATAAGATCTCTAATCCAGAAAGCAGTGAGTTTTCCCAAAGCAACTTGGATGGGCTTCCATTGAGGTTTGCTAAGATCCTTAAAGGAACCGTCTGCATTTTCCAGCGCTAGACTAGCACTGTTTGGGTAGCTCACTATGATTTTTAGGTTCACCCATTATTCAGAAGAGCATCAGCTTTAATTTACTGTCAGTGCAACAGAAGCTGGTTAGTTAGCAGGTTCTGGGGAGGGGAATGAGATATTGAGGGATGGTTAGAGACTGAATTCCTTAAAGCCAGCATGACAGCTCCAGGTGATATCTTCACAGCTGAGAGTAATACACTCCTCAAACTGGAATGTTTCCTGAAATAATGTGGGAAGTGACACAAGCCAGCTGCACTGCATGCAGCATAGGTGGGTGGAGAGGCTGAGAACATTTGGATTTGGGTAGTAAGAGGTCAACCTGCAAGATATGATGTAACCTGACTGAATGGGATAAGGCTTTGAACAACCAAGGAAAAGTTGAGAAAAGACCGGGGTGGAGCCATGCTTAGCATATCCAGATTTGTGGAAGTTGGGGCATGCTACAGGTTAATCTATGAATAATTAATTCTGTAAAAGTATTTGTGTTCAGATGATCTTTAATCCTTGAAGGATCTTCAGAAATTGCTTCTGGCCCAAATTATGAATCTGTATTAATTATAACAACATTTTATATTATAATTATACTGTGCTTTTCATTCCAACTCATCCTTAGGCCTTTTACAGCATATGCATAATTCATTTTTGCTCCCCTTGGGGCCGAACACAACACTTAATAAAGAGAAAGGATTGTATTAGCCATTAAGAAAGGTAATCAGATCACTCTTCTGATTTCTCACCACTTCACTAGCTTCTAAACTTTCTTGCAATCACTGCCTGGTGGCAGCAGTGAGGATAGAAAAGGGAATTGAAATGGGGAATAAGGGCAAAGAGCAAACTCTTGTCATCAAAGGCAGTCCCAATGTCACTGACAGTAACCAGAGCAACACTCACTAAATAAAAGTTAAAGAGCACGAGCATTTTGTAAGAGAGCTATACAATTGCAAAGTTAATGTGTGATTTCTATACTAAAATTCTATTTCAAAGAATATTGGGGATGATGCTGTTGATACAACCATCTGCATCTTTGCTATTAGATCCCTGGGAATTCAGAGTAGCCACTTCAAAGGAATGCTATGTTAAGTAACTCTGGTTTCACTGAACCTGCTGGAAACAGAGGCATGTTTTTGTAAATGTGTTTCTACTATTTGGGCTACAATGACACTAACAATAAAACTTTTGTGGCAGTATGTAGTCATTCAGCAAGCTAAAAAGAGACAATAGCAATTATATTATTGCACTATTGACTTTTCCCATCAGAAACCACACATAATATTAAACAGTTGATCCCACTGCCTGGACAAAAGCATCATCTGGGAACTGACAGCAAAGTAAGCATTGAAAGAAATAATTCTTGCCTTTGAGGTGTGAATAACTCTGTCTCTAAATTTTCCCAACTTCAATACTCACTATTGTGCTTGAAGATTCTAATAGTGGCACCTGAAAGCCTCGCACCGAGAACGAGAGAAGTGTGGTTCAACTCATCACTTAAAATGAGGCAGCCCTGTGGAGAAGGAGTACAATGAGCATCTGCATGAACTGGGAGGCTGCTGACTCGTGTGCACGTGTGTGACAGCATACACACGTGTCTATGACAGAGCATTGCACCAATTAGGCTGTAAGGATTAACCATAAAATGAATTTTCTGCCACTTTCCTGAAGTGCAAAGGCAACCTGAAATAGTGGGATCAGATTCTCAGGCATTCCCAGGTGGTGCATAGGGGTCCAGTATTTCCTGCAAAATCAGGGATGTTGCTTCCTCTATCACCTGTTCACAGCCTATTTTGAGCTGCAAGGAAATTCAGCCACCACCCCACATATAAAGACTGCAGGACAGTAGTGTGAGGAGGAGTAACACTGAGGCTGGACTGACATCAGCACTTTGGACTGCACAAATGAGAGCAGAAGAGACCGATGCCTTCTAAGTCCCACCTTCATTAAGATGTGAGTGAAGTTTAGGAACCAGTCTTTCTCTGGTAAATGCATATACAGTTGACCTGTAGTATACTTTTTATTAATAACTCAGTTGAAAACTCATTTTATTTTTAGAAACGAAATTAGAAATGTGGGAGAAGTAAATTTGTCTATTATATTAACACGGGGCAGAACTCGGAGTTGAAATTCAGGCTTGAACCCTTGTTTAGCTCTGCTTTCTATTAAACATGTTTTGCTGTGTTTCATTATGTGTTGCCAAAGGGCAACACATAATTAAGTAAAAAACTTATTCTGGAATCACAGATTAGGCCTAGGGTGAGAGATACTCACAACCTCCCTAGAGACTGGTTTGCAGAACTAACAGTAAGTGTAGGTGCAGCTTGACAAGAAAATGTAGCTGCTAGGCTTAATTATAGAGGAAAACACAGGAGTAAATCTCTCAAACATAGGGTAGTTAAATAATACTTGTAATATTATACAGTATTATTATATATATATATAACATATACTGAATTTTCAAATATATATATACACACATATATGAAAAACACTTAGAGTAATATCTTTATTTGTGCCACTTATATCTAAATATCCCACCTCTGATAGAGGCTTGAATCTATGTGAAGCCAGGTAAGGGAGGGGAAATTATTATGCAGCTAAGACAAGCATCTCAAACTACATATCTGCAATTTTATCAATTTACCCTCATAAATTCTCCATATCTTTCCCTGTGAAACTCTGGACAAGTTCTCCAGCACTGCTGCAGACTGAAGTTCTTGTTCTGGACAACTGAAGCAACTCTCCCTGCCCAACACTTGTGTGCATGTATTTTAGAGATCCTGCAAAAACTGCAGTTGTCTTCAACAGTGAGTGAAGAAGTGACTTCAGCTCTGCCCTGGTGTTTCAGGAGTCTCTGTCATACAGCACAAACTGCATTCACTCCACCCCCACCAAGAAGGAGGTCATGTTTTGTACTTGCATGGCACACTTCATGCTGCTCCACATCTGGACAAGCTTAGGGGGAGTTACCCCCTTTCCAGCTGTCAGCACAGTGCACCTGTTTGTGATGGCCACAGTGACAGGATGATGGATATCCATGCCTTTGAGTTCGGCGCTCCAAGCTGGAGAGGAGGTCCCTTCAGCACCAAGTAAGAACCCAACTTTTGTAACATGATCACAGCTTTAGACTTTTATTTGCTGGCAGCTTTCTTCACAGGGCTGGCTGGAGCTCTGTTCACCAGGAATGCTAAGCACTGTGCTTTTCCTTTTCTCAAAGTGTTCTAGAAATTATCCTAATCACCGTCTCTCATCACAGGCAGCTGGGCAAAAATCTCAGCAAGTAGCCTAAATACTTCATCCAACAACACCTGGACATGGGATTCAACATCTGGTTATTTTTTAGGGAGAAACACCTTCATTAAGTGGAGCTAGAGAGCTGTATCACTGATCCTTAAGCAAATGTGTGTGATAGCAATACTCAGTGCTAGCACAGATGATAAAGGAACATATTTAAAGTCACAAGGTCATGGGCTTTATGACTCACACATTCCTGATACCAAGCTTTGTTCCTCGATCAAGCCTTTCCACTCACTGAAAGCCCAGAATACTGCAACAGTAGTTAAAACAATTAATAAATGATTGTTCTCTGTGTTCCTGAAGGAAGTACTCACCTTTCCAACAAGGGCTGGAATATTCATCGAATTAGTTGCAAAGCCCATGCCAAACACCATAGCATCTTCCACACCAAGGAAATTGGCCACAAGTTTCTCTAGCTCTACATGTTTGTCTAGGGTGCCTGCAGAAATAAGCAGAGGGAATATTAAATCTCGTTAAACTGTGAAAGTTATTATGACACAAAACATACAAAAGAACAGGCTAGAACTGTGTCATTAAGCTGTGTGACATTAAGTTCTAATGAGGGTTTTCCATTTGTATCCTATGCACGTGGACTAATGCAAGAGGAGCAAACTAGCTGTGACTAATGCTAACAAATACTGCTGCTGTTAGGGCAGCAAAGCAGTTGCTACGGGAAAAAGCTTCCTCTTCCCATAGTAACTTTTGACATAGATTATTCTTAAGACTATTTTTTTGTCTTTTTCTCTCCCTGCAATGAGGACAAAAATATTTCCTTTTTGCAGGAAATGTGGGACAAACGTTTTAGGCATTCTTGAGGTCTCTCCAGATGTGAAAACAAAAATGGGCAACAACAAAATTCTTCCTTTTTTATTGCCTGTCTATGTAGGTGCACAAAATTCTTTATTAAGATTTTGTATGATAGGCAAACTGATGATAACTCTGCTTTTTCTTTCCTCTCAACAGCAAACATTAAAGATAACACAACACTAGAGACTCTTCTTTATTGCATGTAAATTATCTAATATTAGTGCTTGAAGTCTCCAAACAAGGTGCTCCAACTCTCCAACAAAAGCAGTATCCTTCCTGCCCAACTCACAGTGGAGGATGACAAAATACAAAAGGCAAACAAACAAAAGAGTGGTGTTAAGAGACTGAGGTAACAGATAGCTTTGAACAGTAAGGAATCATCTCAACTTGCCAGCTCTCTAGTCTTTGGTTGCCTGGCTGTGCATTGCAGGGACCAAGGCAGAAGGAACTCTTACAGGATGATCTGTGGGGAAGAAAAGAGAGTGGCCTGTGGATTCTGACAGAGCATTTCCCCTATGAATAAGGCTGTAATCAGAGAACAGAAGAAAAAAAAAAGGCAAGTGACTATATTACCTCACTTGCACTGCACAAGCTGATGGCACAAAAATATAAAGTGAATTACAATGGATGGAACAAGAAAGCTGTGTTCACTGTGATGCACAAAGGGCAGATGAATGGAGGAATACAAAAACTTGGCTAGAGTGTCTCAACAAGAATGATGGGTCAGGAAGATGATCTTACCTTCATTATGGAGCAGAGCTCATTAAAAAAAATCAAATACAAATGGCAGGAGAACAGTTTCAGCAATAGCACTAAGTCAGCTGGTTACAGTGAAGTAGTGTTTTCCTTATTTTTTCCCATTAAATATCTAAAGAATTACATCCATTTGGAAATAGAATGTGACAAATATCCATCAAACAGGCAGGTAACTCTCCAACAGTCAGAGAGATAAGGGGCAAGGATCACACTGCTTCTTGAAAAACCTGGATTACACGGACAGTAAAGAACAGCAGTGCTGCTGAGATTTTGCCAGAGCCTTCCTGGGTTGTGCTAGACCTGAGCCTACTCCAGCAGAGCTTCAAGAGTGTCCCTGCTGTGTCACACTGCATGTACCTGGAGCTGGGTTGTCTCTGTGCTCTGAGAATTAGGTAATGTGGCACAGAACGTGTGGCTCTGCAGAAACTCCACTACGAGTGAGCTGAGTCTGTGTGAAGCTCTTTGAGGATGGCTATTTTTTGAATTTGTACATGCCAAGGCACATGAGGATATGAGCTGGCTCTGCACACAGTCACAGTTTGTTACCCAGGCTCTGTGAAATACAGAACAGTGTTCCAGAGCTGAGCTGCTCACTGGAAATGTGGGTAAGAATCTGTCTTAAGGTGTGAGCCCAGCAGGACTCAGCATATATTTCTGTGGTTAATTCTGTACTTTTTGCAAATTGGACCCAGCTAGTCTTCAACCTGGTTATAGCACTCATGGACAACCAAGAGTTCCAGCAGGATCAATTGCCTTTAGTGCTCCCTGCAGATGTTATTTTGTCACTCGAGGGCTACCAGCACCCAAAAAGAAGATGAAGTCTAAAATGGAAGCTTGAAGCCAAGCACACTGTGGTCACAGCTTGAATAGGAAGGTTTGTGAAAACATGAGAAACAAGCAGTGTGTGCTTTGCAAGGCATGACACAATTGTCCCTGACTCTTCCAGGAGTGAAGTCTGACACTAACGGGGTGGAGTTAAATTGCTTTTTGGGGTTGCATCACATGTTTTCTGTTTTTACAAACAGGAAAAGCCTGACTCAATACAGATTGCTCTGTTAAAGCTCCTATTAGATGACCCACAAAGGAGTAGCACATTTTGCACCTATTTTTATTGATTTTGTCGTGGTGAAGAATGACTCATTCTTAAAGTGACTGATTCATACTTATTGTTCTCTAATCCTAAAAGCGAATGCAGATGATTTTATACACCACTATTGCCTACAAATCCCAGAATACAAATGGGAAATGGTTAGCAAAACAAAATCCTGAATGACAAGGATTTGCAAAACGAGCCCTGTTTTTGAATCATGTTAATTATCGTGGCAGTATTGTTGGTGGTAGGTAAGGTGTTGCAGAAGCAATACAACACACGCCAGTACTGTCAGTGGGAGGTTCATGACAGCTGTATACACTGAACAGAGTGGAAAAAGCATATAATTATGCAATTATTTAATCATATCAGGAGCTTTCTCTACACAGGATGCCCTTGGACACTGTATAAATGGCGTCAATTCTATCACCTCTCTCCACTGGAAGAAACAAGGGGTCAGACATGATGAGGTTTGTCCACTAGCATTTCCCAGCTGGTCACAGCCACCACCATGACAGGCATGAACAGCACTTCCAAACAGATGCAAATTTGATCCAAAGGAACTGGCACAAGCTGAAACATCTCAGCATCTCAAGCTACATAACAAAGGCAGTAATTACACAGCTCTTCATTAAATACAACCTTGGTGATGTCAAGTAAGGTAATCCTGGCCCTTAAAGTGTTTTGTATTGTGCTAGATTTAAGACCAGTATCATGATCTGATGAATGAAAAGTCATATACTAGATATATCTTTTTAATACACTGTATACACAGATACTTTCTATGCTTACCCTATAAACAGACATTAGAACTTCCCCACTGACTGACTACAGCTTGGCTTGAC